ACAAAGTAGCTTCCAATCCCTCCTTAGTAGCTTCTCCATGAATTACTGCTGAGGATACCTACATATTCCATAACCTGAACAATAATTCAAAATAAGTAAGAGATAATTATTTTTTTTTTGGCGGCCAAGAGATAATTAGTTATTGAAGAATAAATTTAACGTTTAGTTCTCTTGCACATTTATCCCCAAACTTTAAAATTGAACATTTGGTAAGTAACCTTTTAAAAATTGCAGTATAGTTCTTTTTATTATTTTCTTTTGTTAACTTTGACACTAATAACTAATAAGAGCTTAATTGAATAAACATACATTATATGTAAAATCTTAATTTGACATCAAAATTAAGTGTTCAAACTTGTCATATTAAATGGTTAACATAAAGCATTAAAAACAATATAAAGTTTGGAAAAAAAAATGAAAATCTTATTTACTTAGCTTCTAAAAAAGCATCCTATGTGGAGTTTCTAGGATCAATTATAGATGTTTTCCAATCTTATAACACGGACTGAATGGACAAAAGAAATTTAAGAAAAGAATGAAATAACTTGGTTTTAAAAGTTTAGGACGAATTTGCAAGTAACCCTACACGTTAAGGACTAAAGATAATATTTGCTCAAATTTGCAAAAAGCTTACTTGGATCACTGAAGGTGACGATGCCAGTCCCTTTGAAATCACAGTTCCAGTAATTCCTTCCATGCATCTGATAATACACATTCATGGCGAATGATGCATGAGCATGAATCTTGTTGGGTTGAAAGCAGTCACCGTTTTCATATATTTCGCGGCAATCTACGCCGCCGGCGCCGCAGCAGAAATCCACCACGGTTTGAAGCACCTTCTCATCAGCATGTGGCTTCGCCACGCACCATACTGACGGCCCCCTTGCCGCCCCATCGGTGCCTGAGATTTTCTCGAACGTCCCTCCGCTACTGCAGAACTGGCAGCTCAAATCCACTTCGTACACCTTCGATCCATCGCCGTTGAAAATCCCGAAATGCCTCTCTGTTTCATCCCCTGTTTTTTTGTTCTCATTGAACAGAGCAAACAGGAATATCTCTGCTTTGTCCTTCGGTTTCATGGGTGTCCCTTTGTTGGACTGCGCGCGTTCGATCAACCGAGTGTTATATTTCTTCGCATTGTCCAGCGTGGCAGCGGCGTCACCGGGCGCCCCTTTTGACGGCCACCCAGACTCGGAAACTGTGATCTCGATCGTCTGATTACCGAACCCCAGAGCGTTTATTGCCGATCTAATTGCGTCAATTTGAGCATCCAACATGTTGTTGTAGATGTATCCTTTCGGGTCATGGACGCCGGTGGCATTTCCGAGCAAAGCATATTCTAAATCGACGGCAGTGGGGTTTTCCCTGTAGGCGAAATAAGGGTAAGCATTAATCATGAACGGCGCTCCAGTATCGGCCAAAAACCCAATAATGGAGCTCATGGGTTCGACGAAATTTGGGGCAAAGGTGGAAGCTGACGGTAGAAAGGAGGAGGCGAGGACGGCCATGCTGTGTGGCGTGGTGACCTTAATTTTTCGGTCGAGCCCACGAGTTACAAGCACCGAATGGAGGTTCTGCATTGCATGGACCAGTGCGTTGGGGTCCAAATGACCGTCACCGGAATTCGTTGTCAAGTACTCGTTTCCGACGCAGATAGCTACAAACTACAATGGAGGTGGCGGGAATGAAGGGGACGACACGGGTGGCAAGCCATTCGTCAGCGGCGGAAATGTCGGTGCTGATGTTGGCAACATGGTGGTTTTCTACTGCTACTATGAGATCAATGGCGGTGTTGGAGAAGGCTTCGAGGATTTCTGGGTTGGAGTCGTAGATTTTGACCTTATCGAGTAGGGTGGATTGGAGGAGCTGAGCTACTTTCTTGGGTGAAGGAAGATTGTTTCCGAGAGTTCCGTAGTTAATGCCGACACCGGAAACAGGCCGGAAT